AGATTAATTAATAGCTAGTGAACGACATTATTTTGTGGGAAAGCGACGCATGAGCAAATGGACTACCGTACCCGTAGCTTCGACACATAAAATTTAAAATACGGCTACCGTCCCCGTAGCCACTGCGAACAAAAATACATTTGATACCTGTGCTATAGTTTGCAACATCACAAAAACGGTAATTAGGAGTTTCGAACCCATCCGAGGACGGTTAACGTTTTCCTAACATTCCAAGAACATTTAACTCTCTCAACAAGTAAAACCAATGAATGCATAACGATATGGGAATGTTCTTAGAATATTTTTGGCTAATGTAACCAAACTATAGAACCTCCAGCAAATGTTACGATAATGTTCCGTGTTTGCTGGGTAATTACATGGATGTCTGAGTGTGCATTTCTGTTAAATTATAAAATAAATTATATGACCGAGACTGACTGAACTGACTAGCTGCAGTTAACTGACTGACCGAGAAGAATCGGCACTGCATATCTACCTAAAATACCCCACAATGAATATCATACACACACGAAAAATGCAAAAAACAAAAAGCACAGGCAGATAGTCGATCGGTTCAGTACAGAAAACAAACGCACGCACGATTTTACATAGCTTCTGTATAACATTCATGCATATATTATGTAGCGCGTAAGAGCGAACGTGCGATCCAATTTTTCAGCTATGTACAAATGACCTATGAGCCGATGACGTCATAGGGCTCCAGTGCGTAACCAGAGCATATAAATCAACTTTGATTTATATTCAACGTTGATTTATATGCTCTGGCGTAACTACGAAGTGGCTTATTAATTCCGCGTTGGCTTGCCATACGTGTCACAGGAAAAATTACGTTATATCAAGAGATAAGACGCATAATACAAGTTTTATACAATCACATAAATAAATAATTTTTGTTCACACACATAAATCGGTGAACAAAAAATAACATCAACTATCATTCAACTAACATTCAACTAACAGTCATTACTAAATGTAGCACGGGGACAGCGAAAAACCCGCAGGTCATCGCGCAAAGTCAGCCGCCTCTATAGAATTAGTTATTAGGCAGACGACTGAATATTTTTTTAAATATTGATAGAAAATGAATGAACAAATGTCTCTAGACGTGATGCGGCCATGATGCCGAGGCGCGCCAAGGATTGACACTGTGTCTTCCAATCACAGTCCACGCCGCACCTCTCTATTATAACTTATAGGTATAATACCATTAGAGCACCAAATCGCCGATCTCAGGAACTAGGGCATTCTGCTAGGCTAAAACGGTTTCCTACGATAGAGTTTGGCACAAATACGAAAATAAAACGATGTTTAGCGCACTGCGCTACGTCCTTCTGTTGCATTTTCGCATTTCCGTGATCAGAATAAGCCCCGCCTTCTTCGTTGATGGGAATGAATGGGGCGTCAACGACGTGACCCGTTACTGCATGTAGGTGTTTGGCGATACTGTTTGCTTTTCGTAAATAATGAAAGGCCGGGCCGATGCATTTCGCACCAAAGTAGAAAAATTAGGCATTTTTACCCGCTTTCGGAAGTGAACTTGTGCGTCATTCATTGAACATTGAAGTTTTTCTTAAAATTAAATAATTCCGAATATCCCTAACTGCGCTACTCGATTGTTTTAGCCAATGAACGTAACTCTGTGTGGGACGTACGTCTTGCCCGCACGCTTTATGCTTGGCTTAGCAGACCTCGAAATGGATATCGGAGGCACGCACCTCGCAACACGCGTGTTTGTTTACATATAGCAGATAGACATCAGGATGGGCGGTCAGGATCAGGATGGGCATCAGGATGGGCGGTGTCGGGAGTTCTGCGATAATAACCTCGTAATTTCTCAGCATTTCTTAAGGTGCATGGAACATTTTACCAA